CCAATCCCTCCTGCCCCTTCCAGCCTCTTTGACGGCACTGGCAGATGATTGAAGGGTGATAGTGACAGGAGACATCCTTTGGGTTTAGATGGCATCAGGGGATGGATGGCTATGAGCAGACAAAAGCTCCAAGACTCTGAGTGGACCTTGGGGCCCACCTCCTAGAGACCATGGCTCCAGAGGAGCCCATTTTCTTCCTGTCTCCTTCGCACTTGGCACCAACCAGCTCTTCACTTCAGGTGAGACTGTTCAGTGCTATTTCCCAGACTTCAAGTTTCTGCAGTTATTTTTAGCGGTAGTTTTCGTGCATACCTGGGACAGGTGAGGCATGAAAAGGAATGTGGGTGTGGGTAACCCTTGAATCTCTAGAGTTATGGTCTGAGTCTCTTGTCATTCCAGCTAAAGAGGGGTGACTCACACCCTGATTTCTTATCTGCCCAGAGGCTAGATTTCACCCTACAAACCATGTGGATCAGAATGTCTTTATTCTCTCAGTTTTAAGGACATAGTTTCTTGATGTTGCTTTGTTACCTGCTTTTAATAACTTGGATCCCTTCATTTTCTGTAACCAACACCATAGCCGGTGGTTCTTTCTGGTCCTATTTCCCAGGGTTTTGAGGGCTCCGGGGTAGATAAAGTCTCCGATTTAGGTTTGTGGATGCCTCTGCAGGCAGGAAGCTACTTGGAAAACACTCTGTCTGCAAGCAAGACGTCCTTAAAGAGCCAGCCAAGTTCTGGGATATTCATTGCACGTTTTGAGAGACTGAGAAAGAATAATCATGATCTAGTTGGGTCTAGGCCCCTCTTGGCTACTAGAATCCCCTCAGAGTGCCCTTAGAGGACTTCTTCATAGTTCCCTGGAATTCTGGGCCTGCTTTAAGCCTGAAACAGCCTATCCAGTTGAAACTCTCTCACTAGGATCCTAGGACCCCTTCATAAGATAGAGAGCTGTTTTCCTCATTCTCACTCTCACTCAGCTCTGTACGGAGGAAGCAAAAACTAGGCTAGCTACTACCATGAAGCCATTGTTACTGCAACTGCAGACAATGAATACCACGTAAATCAGTTTTACAATTCAGATGAGAAATAAGGAAGACATTTTCTCTGGGCTGATATCACATGACTATTCCAAGATACTCCCTTTATTAAGTCATAAAAGTTAGATGTATCTGTTCACAATTGGGGTGGGAGAAGATTGTTTTGAAGCTCACAGTTTCTTAAATCAGGAAGGCAGAACTAAGGAGCTGTAGCAAGAAGGGAATAGCAGAGGGGTCAGGGACCTCTTTCCCCACTCCTAAATCTAGAGCCTTTGGTATCTAGACTGCAAAGGCAATTTACATGTCATTTAAGAGAATGACATTTCAACATTCTTCTGTCCTTCTATTAATACCTATCCAAACACTTCTGAAGACCCATCTCCTGTCTTCTCCATACTTTGTAACTAGTTCTCCCCACCATTTCTATTCCATAATTGCAACCTTAAACCCCGCAGAATATAGCAGAGTCCACAAAGATGCCTTGTACTGGGCTGAATAGTATCCCACAAAAAGTCATGTCTACCCATGTATTAATCTGTTTTCATGCTGTTGATAAAGATATACCTGAGACTGGGTAAAGAAAAAGAGGTTTAATGGACTCACAGTTCCACATGGCTAGAGAGGCCTTACAGTCATGGCGTAAGGTCAAAGGCACGTCTTACATGGTGGCAAGGAAGAGAGAATGAGGGCCAAGCAAAAGGGGGAACCCCTTATAAAACCATCAGATCTCATGAGACTAATTCACTACCATGAGAACAGTAGGGGGGAAACTGCTCCCGTGATTCAATTATCTTCCACCGAGTCCCTTCCACAGCACGTGGGAATTCTGGGAGCAACAATTCAAGATGAGATTTGGGTGGGGACACAGCTGAACCATATCAACCCAGAACCTCAGGTGACCTTATTTGGAAATAGGATTCTTGCAGATGTAATTAGTTAAGATGAGGCCATGGTGGATTAGGGTGCACCCTAAATCCAATAACTAGTATCCTTATAAGAAGGCCTTGTGAAGACACAAAGACACATGGGGTAGAAGGTCATGTGTAGATGGAGACAGGGATCGGAGTCATGTTGCTACAGCCAAGAAACACCAAGGACTGCAGGCAACCAAGGGGCAATGCTGGCTAAGAAGCCAGGAAGGACTCTCCTCTAAAGGTGTCAGATGGAACATGGCCCCGCCCACACCTTAATTTTGGACATCTTAAAATCCAGGACCATGAGAGAATACATTTGTTATTTTAAGTCACTCAGTTCCTGGTACTTTGTTTCAGTAGTCCTAGGACATTAAAACATACTTCCGTAAGGGTTTCAGCAGCACGACCTCACTATCTCAGCTTAGAGGACAGGAGAGCACAGGTATGACTGAGTAATAGAGCAAACCTACACGCCTTGTTTTTATTTACTGGTGGATCACATTGGTTTCTGTGCCTCCTGCCTTTTGCAATAGCATCTGTGCATTTTCTGCTTTGGACTCCATGCTCTGGACCTGTTAATATACCTGAAGATACACCCATCCACATTTCTTTCACTAGTGTCCTTTCTTCCCATCCTAGCAAAGCATAATTATGCACATACATTAGAGATGGCAGTTAAGCTTTAGTGCAGTGGTTTTTAACCTTTTTAGTCTCCCCAGAAATATGCATATTCCTCAGGGGTCCACAAACCCCAGGCCAGAGACCACTGCCTATTTGGAAAGTTGAGACATCCTTGAGGATGATTGCAATCTCTCCTTCTTACCCCCTACTGGTACACCAGTTCCATTTCAGCTTGCTTCTGAAGTCCTCCACTGAGCTGAAACAGTATCCATGAGCTGACTCGGAGAGAGCTGCTATCCTAAGCCACCCTAGAGAGTGCCATAGGGAAAACACGATGTTAATGGAGAATTAGTCCCAAGTGGGAGGCACAACTCGTAACAAATAGGAACGGGTACGGCCCCGCTCAACCATTTGCCTCCCTATTCTGGTACCCCTTTCTCCTTTCCTTTCCCTTATGTCTCTACCTCCTCTAAATTATCCTTCACACAAAGGTACCATAATAAGCAGCAACGAAATTCAGAGCAAACAAAACAACAAGTAAGTCATGCACGGTATTTCAATTCATTGCGAATGCCTTGCCCACAGGCACCCATTTTAGAATGCATCTGTGGTAGAAACTCCCCCCCACTGATATTTGCAAAGATCTTCCTGCAGTGAAGGAAGTCCACTGAACAGTCCACCCCGGACTACCACAGAGAATTTTACTGCTTTGTCCTCTTTACTCCTCACCAGATACTTTGACTTAGATGGATACGGAAAGTTTCTTTTCTGCCAAACTTCATTCCAATCTTAATCCTTCAAAGTGTTTCTTTAGACCCTCTTTACCTTGGTTCTGCCACTTCAGACACACTCTTCTAATAAAACTGTTATAGACAACAAAAAGTATTAGGCATCTTCTATGTGTAAACATCCTCAGAACACGAGACTGTTCGTGATTGGGAATTTCAAAGTTGCTTCTGAATTCCAGCAACCCTCCCCCAACATCCAGCCCCTAGAGTGCTAATGCCTACTCCCTTCCCTGGACCTGAGGCCCCAGCTCCACATCTCCTGCATCGCCTAATAGATGGGGACAAAAAAGAAGAGTGGCCAGTGGGCACCAATGACAAGTGGATGAAATTAGATCTTATAATTATACATTTCTGACGCATATTGATTTTATTCTTGTCACCTGGGGATAAGAGTCTACATAAGAGGCAGAGTGGCCAGGTGCGGCGGCGCACGCCTGTAATCCCAGCACTTTGGGAGGCCAAGGCGGGTGGATCACCTGAGGTTGGGAGTTCAAGACCATCCTGGCCAACATGGTAAAACCCTGTCTCTACTAAAAATACAAAAATTAGCTGGGCGTGGTGGTGCATGCCTGTAATCCCAGCTACTTGGGAGGCTGAGGCAGAATTGTTTGAACCAGGGAGTTGGAGGTTGCAGTGAGCTGAGATCACACCACTGCACTCTAGCCTGGCAACAGAGCGAGACTCTGTCTCAAAAAAAAGAGGCTGGGTGCAGTGGCTTATGCCTGTAATCCCGACACTTTGGGAGGCTGAGGTAGATGGATCTCTTGAGCTCAGGAGTTCAAGGCCAGTCTGGGTAACATGCCAAAACCCCATCTCTACAAAAATACAAAAATTAGCTGGGTGTGGTGGTGAGTGCCTGTAATCCCAGCTACCTGGGAGGCTGAGGCAGGAGAATTGCTTGAACCAGGGAGTCGGAGGTTGCAGTGAGCCGAGATCATGCCACTGCACTCCAGCCTGGCAACAGAGCAAGATTGCATCTCAAAAAAAAAAAAAAGAAAAGAAAAAAAGAAAGAGGCCAGGTGCAGTGGCTCACACCTGCAATCCCAACACTTTGGGAGGCCGAGGCAGGTGGATCTCTTGAGCTCAGGAATTCAAGGCCAGTCTGGGTAACATGCCAAGATCCCATCTCCACAAAAAATGTAAAAATTAGCCAGGCGTGATGGCGTGTGCCTGTAGTCCCAGCTACTCAGGAGGCTGAGGTAGGAGATCACTTGAGCCCGGAAGGTCAAGGCTGCAGCGAGCTGAGGTCGTACCACTGCACTCCACCCGGGGTGACAGAGTAAGATAGTCTCAAAAAAAAAAAAAGAGTCTACGTAAGAAACCAGTCTTTCTAACCACCTGCTTAATTGAGGGAATGAAGGAAATAAATCTATTTAGGGATTTTAAAGACCTCTGCTGTCTTACTGATGGACTTTGCTCCATCTGCAAGAAAAACACAACCTCCTTTCAAGTAGGACTTCCCTTTCAAAGCCATCTATCATCTTGTTTCCTTGTTGATTTTTTAAGTAATAAATATTTATCTTAATTAACACAACCAATGAATGTGCCATGTATTCAACACTGTCAGGTTCTTACCTATTAACAAGATCTTACTTAAATCTACAAGGCCCTTTAACACCAAGGTTTTTAAGGAGTTTGAATCTTTTAAAAATAATATTTAAATTTATTGTTTCACATTAGTTTGAATAAAGCACAAGCCAAGATGGCTTAAATATCATTTGCAGATGTCCAAGCTTCTTTACAATTACAGGTCGTGGACATCATCAACCTAGTCCTCGACTTGCAGCTAAAAAAGGCAACAGGTCTGTGTGAGTGACAGAAGAGCACATCCTACTCATGTCATGAGCAAAGAGTCAAAGTTGAAGAAACTGTAACGGTCTTGACATCAGCACTGTAAGAATTATTCTGCAGTAAACTCCAACCCAGAATGGGGAAGAGTACTGAATTCACTGAGCACATTCTGGACACAACTCTGACAGATTTCAGTCTCACGATCTCTGTCAGAGCAGGTTTCATTCTCCAATTCTCTTTCACAGAACAGTAGAACGTGAGCCTTCATAAAAGTAATTAACGGCCTTTCCGCTTCTTCATTTTTCCTCCAGCCACCTTGTTCCTGACACCAATAGCACCCTCTGTATCATCATTATCTCCAGCATCCTCTCGCGAGCGTTTCTTCTTTTCTCCATGCTCCCTTAACTCCTGCAAGAAAAAAAGAAGATGGGATTGAAAATGAATTACTGGCACTGAAGGTAACACATTCTAGTCCCCTCTCCTTAAGATCAAGTATCAAGTAACTTCCTGATGCCTGACATTAGCAAAGGAATGAGATCTAACTCCAAATATACAAAGATGTTAACCTTATTAGTAATCAAAACGTGAACATTAAAATAATAAGGTTTTATTTTCACATGGCAGATTGGCAAAGACTTAAGAGAAGGGTAATCCCCAGTATTGGCCAAGGTGTAGAAAAATTCACATATACTGTCACTTACAGTGCAATCTGCTATAGCTTTTCTTGGGGGAAGGGGCAATTTGGCATTCTGTATGAGTTCAAATTTTAACTGTGTACATCCCTTGGCCCAACAATTCTACTTCTAGGAATTTATTCTAAGGGAATAAGTATGCAAAGCTATACAAAGTAGGGAGTTCAACACTGTACCAAAGTAGAAAAAAACTGGAAAAAAGCATAAGCATCCATGAATGTAAGTATTTCATACACATGATGGAATTCTTTGTAGCCGTTAAGAAACGATCACATGAATCTGTATTTGTTGAAACAGAAAAATGTTAATCCTATATAATTAAAGTCTAATTATGGCTAAAGAAAGAAAAATAGCCAAATGTTATCAATGGTTTTCTGTGGGGAAAGGTTTACCTTTTCACTTACTACTTTAATCTTTTCTGTATTTTTTGAATTTTTTTCCCAATGCACATGTAATACTTTAACAAACAAAAATACCAAACAAAAAAATCCCATGTGGGCAGAATAAAAACCAAATCTGTACCTCAGCTACTCCAACCACCACCTATGGGCAAAGTTTCTCCATCCCTCAGACCAGAACTCCAGAAAGCAGGCAGCACTTCCAAGCGTTTTCCTCTAGAATCTTCTCATCACCACTATTACTGTTACTACTACTACAGGGTGAGTATCCCTTATCTGAAATACTTGGGACCAGCAGTGTTTCGGATTTCAGATTTTTTCTAATTCTAGAATATCTGCAGATACATAATGAGCTATCTTGGGGATGGGACTCAATTCTAAACACAAAATTCACTTGTTTCATATATACCTTATACACATTGTCTGAAGGTAATTTTACACAGTATTTTTAATATTTTTGTGCATTAAAAACATTTTGACTGTGTCTTGGTAGCAACCTGTCACATGAGGTCAGGCATGGAATTTTCCACTTATGGCAATCCTTTTGGCACTCAAAGTTTTGGATCGCCAGGCGTGGTGGCTCAAGCCTGTAATCCCAGCACTCTGGGAGGCTGAGGCGGATGGATCACCTGAGGTCAGAAGTTTGAGACCAGCCTGACCAAAATGGAGAAACCCCATCTCTACTAAAAATACAAAATTAGCTGGGCATGGTGGCGCATGCCTGTAATCCCAGCTACTTGGGAGGCTGAGGCAGGAGAATTGCTTGAACCTGGGAGGCGGAGGTTTCGGTGAGCCGAGATTATACCATTGCCCTCCAGCCTGGGCAACAAGAGTGAAACTCCGTCTCAAAAAAAAAAAAAAAAGTTTGGATCTTGGTTTTGGATTTCAAATGTTTGGATCAGGTATGATCAACCCCCACTAGTAACTACATAGTTTATATTGGCTTCTCTGGTGCTTGTAAAACCCCGTAAGATATTCAGGCAAGTGTTATTCCCAATTTACAGGTGAGAAACTGATTCTGATTCTGAGAAGTCAGGCACATTTCCCAAGCTCACACAGTTCACAGCTGTATCTTCTGACCTCAGGTCTGATGAATTATCTCACCACAGGTGACACGTGAACAGCTGCTGTGAATGTGTAAATGTCAGAATGAGGCCAACCCTGAATCCACCATTTGGTTGGATGGTCTAATGCAAATTACCTACCATCTCTGCACCTTAGTTTGTTCATCTGAAATTTGGAATAAAATAATACCCAGCTTCTGCAGTCTAGTGTGAGGGTTAATATAATAAAGTGGCACACAGTTAACATGGTTTGCACAGACACTGGTGAGAAAAGAAAGATACATACCATTCGGGCAAATCTTTGGGCTTCAGCCACGCGTTCTGCCAGCATCATAACCTCATCATCCTGTGTTGGAAAGACTGGTAGTTTCTTCCCAATTAAGTGTTCTATGCGCTGGAAGAGTTCCACATCATACCTGAGGAAGGAAAACTGCACAGCTTTGGTTGCCTGGTAATGCAAATGCCTGTCCATTCCCAAACTATTATTATATGACACAACGCAATAGGAGCCATAGGTTTAAACAATATTGAACATATTATTTCTTTTCTAAATATGGGTTAAGTGCAATCTCTGTGCATAGCCCATTAGAAAATCACTCCAAGGAGGCCAGGCGTGGTGGCTTGCAACTATAATCCCAATGCTTTGGGAGATCAAAGCAGGAGAATCACTTGAGACCAGGAGTTCCAGACCAGCCTGGACAACATAGTGAGATGCCATCTCTATAAAAAAATTAAAAATTAGCCAACCGTGACGGCCTGTGCCTATAGTCCCAGCCATTCGACGTTGAGGCATGAGGACTACTTGAGCCCAGGAGTTTGAAGCTGCAGTGAGCTATTATCAAGCCACTGCACTCCAGCCTGGGCAACAGAGTGAAACCTTGCTGCTTAAAAAAAGAAAGAAAGAAAGAAAGAAAAATCGGCCGGGCAGGTGGCTCGTGCCTATAATCCCAGCACTATGGGAGGCTGAGGCAGGTGGTTTGCGCCTGTAATCCCAGCACTATGGGAGGCTGAGGCAGATGGATCGCTTGAGCTCAGGAGTTCAAGACCAGCCTGGCCAACATGACAAAACCCTGTCTCTGCTAAAAATATTTTTTAAAAAGTCAGGTGTGCTGGCATGCACCTGTGGTCCCAGCTACTTGGGAGGCTAAGGTGAGGTAGGAGGATTGCTTGAGCCTAGGGGGTGGAAGGTGCACTCAGCCAAGGTCGCACCACTGCACTCCAGCCTAGGCAACAAAGCGAGACAAATTTAAAAAAAAAAAAAAAAAAAAAAAAGAGGGAAGGAGGGAGAAAATCCCTCAAGGTATTTATTCACAGGACAGCCTTGGGTACATAAAAATTTGTTCCTCCAAAAAAAATAAAATTGGAAATAGTTATTCTAACGCTTTCTGAGTTGACACAAAGGCAATTGCTCTCCAGCTCTAGGTACCACTCTACCATTCTACATGCCAAATACTATACTAGATCTTTTACATATATCATCTCCAATTTTCACCAAAACCCTGCTAGATAGGTATTGCTATTCCCATCTTTCAACGCCTTCATCCTGGTTTTCAGTATGAAAGTGAGTAGTGTAGTAAATGATAGCGCCAGGTTCCCAGTCAGTGGCTCGAAAGTTCTGCTCTTTTCTCTACATTGCTCTGCCCCTAAAGCTGATTTACTTACTGCGTGACAAAAGTAATAGCCTTTCCGGAGCGCCCAGCTCTAGCTGTTCGACCTACTCGATGGATGTAATCCTAAAACCAAAAGGGTACATAAATTCAAGTTATATGGATTATAAGTAAAAAAAATAAAAATATTAAAAAAACCTACGTATGCAAAGTCTTGCCATAAAACTTTGAAAGAAAATAGATTCATGTCATAACATGGAGAAAATAAATGGCCTGGGCAATCTGTTGAGACAAATCTACTTCATCTTTTTTATTCTCCTTGCAGCACAAAATGGATCCAATGCTTTCCCCTCTTTCATAGAAAGATAAATCTACAAAGCATATCTACATGGTCGCAAGCTGCATGGTGTTTTAAAAAACAGCACTGGATCTCGAGGCAGAGCTGGGTTATAGCTGTGGTCCTTCCCACCTGCCAGTTACACAATTACCTGCAAATTACATAACCTCCCTAAACCTTGGTTTCTATTTATTGAACAGGCATAGAAATACATGCCCAAATTATAGAGTTGTTATGAAAATCAAATGAGATAGCACCTCATCTACAGCAGTTAAATACAAAGACAAGAGACACACCAGTCTCATCCAGGGGTGCTTCTGTCATCCTCAAGGGACACTGGTAATGTCTGGAAATAACTTCTGATTATCACAAGTGGAAGAGTGTGTGATGCTGTCATCTAGTGGGTAGAGGCCAGGAATGCTACTAGGAATCCTTCAACTCAAAGAACAACCCTTCAACAAAGAATTCGACAGCTTAAAATGTTAATAGTGCCAAGGCTGAGAAACCTTGAGATACACTGAGAACTACAAGTTGTCATTCTCAAGAAATGACAGTGACATGATCAGTATGTGGTGCACCTGCCTCTACTATGAGCATCTAATAACTCTCCTTGGCTACCTCTTTCATATGTACTAACGTTACATACACAGGCCTGTGCAAGATGATGAGAATGAACTAATCAAGGGCTTTCTTGTTTTTTGATACTTAATTAACCAGGAACAAAAAAACTGCTGTAACTAAGGAAAGACAGAAGACACTCCATTAAGAAACACACTTTAGGACTAGAAAGGCAAGTTAGCAACAGGACTCACCTTGGAATGGGTAGGAATGTCAAAGTTGACAACTACATCTACATGAGGTATGTCCAAACCCCGGCTGGCAACGTCAGTTGCTAGAAGAATGGAACGGGCCTTGGCCTTAAACTTATTAAGGGATCCTAGGCGCTTACTCTGAGGTAATGAGAAAGAAATGTTGGAAAACTTAACATACATTTTGGAATACAAAACACAAAACAGACAAACACAAGAACAAAGAGACATAAATTTTTTAAAGTTTTTTTCCCCCCAACTTTTGAATGGGGCTTCACAGGTCAAAACAGAAATATGAAGCAACAAGAAATAAAAAAAAAAAATGATACAAAATAAGGGTAGCCTGACACAATAGAAAAGTAACTGTGAAATAATTTATTAATGTTTTTAGAGACCAGAGTCATTATTACCATTAGGGCTGAATACATCAACTCAACAGCTTGCAAACCAGACAGCTACATATGAAATATTCTAATGGGAGCCTCTTGCTACCCTGGGAGAAAGTAAGCATCTAGAGCAACGCTTCAAAGCCCATAAAATGAGAACAATTATGGAAACAGGCATCAGTGCCCTATGTCCTTATTGTACAAATCTATTGTTAGGAGGTTTATCTCGCTCATGCCATCAGTGCATGGCTGATGATGACGATGAATCCTTACCTGACTCATTTGTCCATGGAGGGGGATGGCAGTGAATCCAAGATTTCGCAGTAGCAAAGCTGTTCTCTGGGTATTATTACAGGTGCTGCAGAATATCATAAAGGAGTTTCCCGCCAATTCATTTAGAATATAAACCAGGTAGGTATCCTAAGTTACAAACCCAAAACAATATATGTCATCGAACCTGGGAGAAAGGATTGGAGACCTGGCATATACATAAGGTAAAGACTAACCCTATAGTTGCTTCTCAATTATCCAGACCTCCATTATCCAGACCTCCAGCTGCCAGCTTAGGATTCCTTAACCAGCATTATCATCTCTGTGAACCACTATTCCCCACAGAGCCTAAAGGCAGGCAGGAGATCTGTCCTCAGAAAACAGAAGTCCTTATATCAAAGCACAAAACCAGAGGCTTCATCCTAAATAAAAGCCACATTATAAGCGAACAAAGGAAAAATTACCTCAAGGATGGGGATGGGAAGGAATTATATGATTACATCATGACCTCATTATTGTGGTTTAATACGTTGTGAATTCCTGGCATGTCTAGTTTATCGGTGATAATATAAGCACAACACGCTCTCTAAAGCAAACAGACAGGATGCCAATCTGCATTACAGCTCTTGGCTAATCAAGGGTTGACACATTTTCAGATGCTTTGGTGAAAAGAAGAGGGAGAGGCAGGAATGATCAAAGTAAACACTTTACCTTGAATTTAGAGGGAATAAAAATATAATATTGCTGTAATTTTTCAACTGTCTGGTATTTAGAGGAAACGGCACATTTCACAGGATTTTTCAGAGCTGCTCGCTGAAGCTTTTGCACCTGGAGGAAGAAGATCCAGAACAGCACACTGATGCCTAAACACTCTTTATTTATATGGTTTGACTCTGTGTCCCCACTCAAATCTCATGTTGAATTGTAATCCCCACATGTCACGGGAGGGACCTGGTGGGAGGTGACTGGATCATGGAGGTGGTTTTCCCCCATGTTGTTCTCATGATAGTGAGTTCTCACAATTTCTGATGGTTTTAAAGTGTGGCACTGCCCCTACCTCCTGCCACCATGTAAGACGTGCCTTGCTTCCCCTTCGCCTTCTGCCATAATTGTAAGTTTTCTGAGGTCTCCCCAGCCATGTGGAACTGTGAGTCAATTACACCTCTCTTTTCTGTATAAATTACCTAGTCTCAGATAGTTCTTTATAGCAGTGTGAAAATGGACTAAAGCAATTTATTTTTACTTATTGTTATTATTGTTGTTACCATTTACTTTATGTATCAATTCTCATAAAGAAGAAACAAAAGTCCTAGCAAATTTCACCTTCTTGGTCATGGTGGCAGAGAAGAGGAATGTTTTCCGATCTCGAGGGATCACTTTGAGGATCTTGTCAACCTAAGGCACAAAGAGGAAAAGATGCCAATATGATATTCAGACTGGAAGAGCTGCAAATCCTCTAGGTAATGAAGGAGGTAGACGTTAACAAATTAAATATACCACTGTGAGGATTTGGTACTCGAAAATTCAATTCGATTCAGCTAAAGTTTACTGAATATTTACTGCCTGATACCCCACCAGACACTATTAAAAAAATACCTTTCTAAGAAAAGAACAGTTTAAATTAGTAGACCAGAGTTGATCTAAGAGAAAAGTCAAGAATAAGTATTAATCAACTAAGTAAGCTGGGATTAGTGGGTCATCAAAGAAAATAAAGATATTTCAGGGTATATGTCAAGGTCTAAATTAAATGAAATGGAAAAGAAAATCCAGTTTTGATATTTCCCATTTCTGGAGTCAGAGTCAGACTATATTCTAAAGATAAAAGGGTGCTGAGAAACTGCAATTTGAAGAATATCAAGAATGAAACTGATACTGATGCAATGTTCTACATAAAACAAGTGGGCAATGAACCAAATTTTGAAACAGGAACCTGAGATGCTCTAAGAGGAGGAAAGAAATTGACAGCTCACCTCTGTCTCAAAATCCATATTCAGTATTCGGTCGGCTTCGTCCATGACCAAGTATTTGAGAGCTCTCAAGTTGAAACCTTTCGTATTTTCCAAGTGGTCAATCAGTCGACCAGGAGTTGCTACCAAGAAAGGTTGAGGAGAAACAGTGATGTTTCAGAACAGGACGAAAAACAACAACAACAAACAAATAAAGTTACCTGCCCCACCCCACAGCTCTCCACCAAATTTAACTTAAGAAATTAAAAAATTTAACAGGGTTACAAAATCTGTTTCTCAAAGTCTTTCTATCCAATATTGGTAGATTTTCTCCAATTCATCACTGCCAGTGTCTTTTACCTTTGTCAGTTACTCACCTATTATTATATGTGGTTTTTTTGCAAGGGCCAAAGATTGAGACATTGAATCAATTCCACCCACAATCACAGCTACAGAGAGAAAAAAAACATAGAGATGAGATCCTTAATTTTTTTCCACGGTCCACTGAACATCTTTTAGAGCCAATGCCAGATTTCTACTTAAGCTTGTTCTTCCCTTACAATTAATACTCTTCCCAAAGCTAAAATACAGCATTAGCTCTTTGGGTCAATGAATTATGCTAGCAATACCTCCCTCCATTCTCCTTTCACACTCATTCTTCACTTGTGATGGCAACCTAGGATCCCTTCCCTCTCAGACACTTACCACTCTGCACTCCAATAGAGGACCCCAGGGCTTCAAACTGCTCTGAGATCTGAAAGGCCAGCTCCCGAGTCGGGGTAAGAACTAGGGCAAACAAACGCTGTGGGGTCTCCAGCAGTGCATTCAGAATGGGCAAAGCAAAGGCGCCTGTTTTTCCAGAGCCAGTTTCTGCCAGCCCGATGATATCACGACCTAGAAGAAAAAGAAATTCAACAGCCAAGTTAATTCTCTCTGCAGTATTTCTGTGTCTTCTACAATGACACAATGCTGGGCACAAAGTAGACGCTTAATAAATATCTGATGAACTGGGGAGAGAGGAAAGTTGAATAAACAGAAAAGACATGGTCTCTCTCTTAGATAAGCTCAAAACCCAGTGGTGAGACAGCCTGATATACAAATTCATTATAATGTGATAAGAGTTTTTTTTTTTTTTTTTTGAGACGAAGTCTCGCTCTGTCGCCCGGGCTGGAGTGCAGTGGCCAGATCTCAGCTCACTGCAAGCTCCGCCTCCCGGGTTCACGCCATTCTCCGGCCTCAGCCTCCTGAGTAGCTGGGACTACAGACGCCCGCCACCTCGCCCGGCTAGTTTTTTGTATTTCTTAATAGAGACGGGGTTTCACCATGTTAGCCAGGATGGTCTCGATCTCCTGACCTCGTGATCCGCCCGTCTCGGCCTCCCAAAGTGCTGGGATTACAGGCTTGAGCCACCGCGCCCGGCCGATAAGAGTTTTAATATAAGCCCCTGCAAAATACAGTTAGAACACAAGGAAAAGTAATTACTGCCCAGAAGAGTCAAAAAAGGCTAACAGAGGTGATTAAGTGAGTTAAACCTGGAAGTAAGCAAAGAAGGGAAGAAAGGATATTCCTGTAAGAGGAAAGATAATTATAATTAAAGCTTTAAAGAACATAGCATGCTGGCCAGGCGTGGTGGCTCACACCTGTAATCCCAACACTTTGGGAGGCTGAGGCGGGCACATCACCTGAGGTTGGGAGTTCGAGACCAGACTGACCAACATGGAAAAAACCCTGTCTCTACTAAAAATACAAAATTAGCCAGGCATGGTGGCGCATGCCTGTAATCCCAGCTACTCGGGAGGCTGAGGCAGAGTTGCTTGAACCCAGGAGGCGGAGGTTGAGGTGGTGGTGAGCGGAGATCGTGCCATTGCACTGCAGCCTGGGCAACAAGAGCGAAACTCCGTCTCAAAAAAAAAAAAAAAGAACATAGCATGCATAGTTAGGCTGAGAAGTACAATGTGGCTGGAACACAGAAGTGTTAAGGGAGAAAGAGAGAAGAATGAGGCTAGAGTTTTGATGTTTTCCTATAAGAGAGAATTGAAGGATTTTAAACAGGGAATATCATGATCAGTATTACTGTTTAGGAAGATAAACTCTAGGCCTGATGGCATAAGGAGAAGCCAAGGAACCTTACAGTGCGTGCCATTTACTGCTCCTTCTGAGGGAAGAATGCTCTAAGTAATTCTTTAAGAACAGGTCACCACTGTTTGTTATCACCACTCAAGCCACAACTTATAAGATCTGGAAATTAACTCCTGGGTGGAGATCACTATCTCCAGGCTGGCTGTAGTGCATAGGCAGCTATGCACTACAACAGTGTCCAGTGAGAACACTCCCTCTCAAATCACGACCCCTACAGTTGCTGCCCCTGTTCTATGACTGCGTAACAGCTGAGAAGTCTTCTTTACCTAGAAGACAATCCTACAATAAACAAATCCCTTTCCCTTGACATAACCTGAACATGACTTACAATCTGAAATGACTTAAATGCCAGAACAGGGAAAACAAAGGCTCAACCGGGACATCAGATATAATTCAGGGGAGATATGATGGTGGCCTGAAATGAGGCCAGGAATGAGCACAGGAATGAGTGAGATTCAGAAACTAACAAAGGTGAATGTGGGTGACGCACACATTTTTAGTACAGGATACTCAAAAGCCAAAAACTGAGATATAGGCAACAGAAAAATTAGTCCTGGTTAGGAAAATAAGGACTTTGGTTTCCACACAGGGAACTTAGAACTTAAGATTCCTGCAGTAAACTCAAAGAGGTATGTCTAAAAACCAGTTGGACATACTTGTTTAGAAATATGTCTAAAAACCAGTTGAACATACTTGTTTGGAGCTCAGGAAAAAAGTGGGGTTAGAACAGACATGGGACATAAATATCCTACCACTGGTACTCCCTCAGGGGCAGATGCTTCAGAACAATCCATGAGACATATATATATATATATATGACCGGTCCCATGCCTGGAAATTCTGATTCAGTATTTCTCACCCAAATCTCATCTTGAATTGTACTCCCATAATTTCCACATGTTGTGGGACGGAGCCGGTGGGAGATAATTTGAATCATGGAGGCGGTTTCCCCCACACTGTTCTCACAGTAGTGCATACGTCTAGTGAGATCTGATGGTTTTGTCAAGGGGTTTCTGCTTTTGCATGTCTCTAATTTTCTCTTGCCGCCACCAGGTAAGAAGCGCCTTTTGCCTCCTGCCATGATTCTGGGGGGTCCCCAGACACACATGGAACTGTAAGTCCAATTAACCCTCTTTTTCTTCCCAGTCTTGGGTGTGTCTTTATCATCAGTGTGAAAACGGATTAATAGCCGGGCGCGGTGGCTCAAGCCTGTAATCCCAGCACTTTGGGAGGCCGAGGCGGGTGGATCACGAGGTCAGGAGATAGAGACTATCCTGGCTAACATGGTGAAACCCCGTCTCCACTAAAAATACAAAAAACTAGCCGGGCGTGGTGGCAGGCGCCTGTAGTCCCAGCTACTTGGCAGGCTGAGGCGGGAGAATGGCGTAAACCCGGGAGGCGGAGCTTGCAGTGAGCAGAGATCGCGCCACTGCACTCCAGCCTGGGAGACACAGCGAGACTCCGTCTCAAAAAAGAAAAAAAAAAGAAAACGGATTAATACACAGTGTATCCTAGTGAATTACATTTTTTAGCCTTCCTTTCATTAACATCAGTGTTTTCCATTCAAAAGCAAATGCACAGATGTGAAATACAAGTCAAACCAGACAACGGACTGATGTTTTAGAGATTACAGACAAATGACAATCCAGGGATAAAATGTCTCACTCATCTACTTATTGTAATGTTCCCCAGTGGCAGGGTGGGTAATAATGAATTGCAACAGCATCTACCTATCTGAGAAACAAAGGTCAGTGTAAGCAAATGATTACTGAAGCTTTTTAGTCTTCAACTCCTTGGGGATAGTGCTGTCCTGCCTGTGTAACACAATACACCTTCGGGAACAGGGGTCGGGGGAGCTAGGATTTGTTCTTTTTTTGTCAAGGGAAATCTTAACATTTCAGAAGAAAGGAGTACATAAGAAAGATTTAGGGAAGTAAAGGAGCTGAAGTTGCCTGGTTCACGAAGCAATAAGCACTGCTCGCTGCCCACAGCTGAGGCCTGCACTGCTTTCAGTTTTTTAATGAGTCCCTCAGAGCAACCCTCAGTTTGTGAAACTGATATATTTTTCTATGTCATCTCCTTTCTTCATCTCTGAAGAAACCTCTAAGCCTTTTCAGTGTTTATACCTGTAGAGAATATACCAGCATGCATAAACTCCATAAGAGTAGAATAAATTTTGTCATATAGACCTGCCACGTTGCTAGCACTGAACATAAGTGCTTGCTACATGGCAGCCATTAATAAGCTGTTTGAAATTCCTTGAGGACAACTCTAAGTGATCTCTGAAACAGAAATAAATAGATGGTGTCTCACTATGTTACCCAGGCAGGTCTCAACCTCCTGGTCTCAAGCAATCCTCCCACCTCAGCCTCCCAAAGTGCTGGGATTACAAGCATGAACCACCATGCTCATCAAACAACTCTTGATCTCTTGATAGTAACACATGTTGATGCAGATCCATTAACAGAGGTTTTCTGAGCTATAAGATTCTATGTTCAAATTCCAGCTCTAGCAATAATTAGTTAGGTGACTCTAGCCAAAGGACTTAACTCCCTGAGCCTCAATTTCCTCACTAATAAAATAATTATCCCTACCTACTATTCAGCATATTATAAGGTTTAAGAACAGCGGACAATCTGGGCTCAGTAACTTTGCAGAAACTGAAAACGTCATTAGTCCCAAATTCAAATTTAGAGTTATTTTAATCGAATAACAACAGCAACAAAATCAAACATTAGATTATTTGAATCGTTTCTATAGATTCAAATGAAATATTTATAAACTACTCATTAGAATGAGACAAACCCAATAAGGATAAAGACATTTTCCATGGTGATCGTGTCTGTCAGTTCCTAGCAATCTTCCACTGACCCCTCCCTATTCTTTTCTGCATCAAATTTAAACTTATGGCTGAAAGCATTAAAATAATTTTAGGATGGCCGGGCACAGTGGCTCAAGCCTGTAATCCCAGCACTTTGGGAGGCCGAGACGGGCGGATCACAAGGTCAGGAGATCGAGACCATCCTGGTGAATACAGTGAAACCCCGTCTCTACTAAAAAATACAAAAAACTAGCAGGGCAAGGTGGTGGGCGCCTGTAGTCCCAGCTACTCGGGAGGCTGAGGCAGGAGAATGGCGTAAACCCGGGAGGAGGAGCTTGCAGTGAGCTGAGATCCGTCCACTGCACTCCAGCCTGGGTGACAGCGAGAATCCCTCTCAAAAAAAAAAAATAATAATAATAATAATAATAATAATTGTAGGATTACTGCCAGCTGTTTTGACTCCTTTTTCTCACCTATGCTGTAGGGCAAGCTGGAAAAGTTAAAATGCACGAACGCTTCTTGCTGTTTTTTTTTTTTTGAGACAGAGTTTTGTTCTTGTTGCCCAGGCTGGAGTGCAATGGCGCAATCTCGGCTCACCGCAACCTCTGCCTCCCAGGTTCAAGTGATTCTCCTGCCCCAGCCTCCCGAGTAGCTGGGATTACAGGCATCTGCCACCACCCCGGTTAATTCTGTATTTTTAGTAGAGACAGGGTTTCTCCATGTTGGTCAGGCTGGTCTTGAACTCCCGACCTCAGGTGATCCACCTGCCTTAGCCTCCCAAAGTGCTGAGATTACAGGCGTGAGCCACCGCGCCCGGCAACTTCTTGCTATTTGAAAGTAATGCTGGGCCACCAATACTTCTTTCCCACAACTGGCCTTTATATGGTCCTTATCCTTCAAACTTCTCTGCACAGGTTGGAAGTGTTTATTAGCCCCTCCTTGAAACACTTTCCCTTCCCTAATTTGTGTGAAACTATACTCTCATGATTTTCAACCCTCTACTGAATCTTCCAATTTTTCCTCTGTCATCTTTGCCAATCTAATCCATTTCTAATCTCAGCTATAACTGCTCTTTGGATACAATGTCTATATCCACCTCTGGCCTCTCAATCAAGTTCCAATCCCAGGATTCCAACTGGGTATTTTTTTTCCTTTTTTATTGTCCCTCAGTTTTACTAATTGACAAAAAATTATAATATACTTATGGTATAGAATGCAAAGTTTAGATATATGTATACTTTGTGAAGTGATTAAATCAAGCTCATTAACCTATCTGTCACCTCACATACTTGTCATTTTTGTGGTGAGAACATTTAAGATCTACTCTCCTAGCAATTTTCAAATACACAAAACATTATTAACTGTAGTCATCATGCTATTCAATAGATCTTCAGAACTTATCCATCCCGGCTAAGTGAAACTGTACCCTGAGCAACATTTCCCCATTCCCCTCCCACAAGGTCAACTCTATCTCATTGATATCCAAAATCAATTACCTCCAACTGAACTCATCTTTCCTGAATTCTCCCCCCATTCCCTTTTTGTATCAGTGGTACACCAATAATATGCCCTAAACATAACAGCCCACAAACTTAGCGATAATCTTAGATTTTCCCCACCCCTTCCTTGCCTTCCACTTGCTTAACTGGTTGTAAAATCAAGGATTATTTTTCTAACATTTTCTTTTTCATTCTACCACCACCCTACCCATTATTTATTGCTAAAATCATTACAATAACCTACTAATTGGTTTCCCAGACTCCAGTCTCTTGTCTCTAATCTTTCACAGCTATGAGATTAATCTTCCAAGAGTACAACTCTAAATCCTTAATCTCCAAAAATGCCCCACTGCCTATGAAACGAAGACCAAATTCTTTGACCCAGCACTCAAATCTTTCATAATCTGGCCCCAGTCACCTTACTAAACTTTTTCACCACTCTGCTAAGTACTTGCAAATCTCCATGCGTGCCTATGTTTTCCAGACTGGCTTTTTTTCCATGCTGTTCCCTATGCCTAGAAAGTTCTCCCTTCCCATCATATCTGAATGTCTAAATCCTTCTAAATTCAGTCCTCAAGGTTCAGCTCACATGTCTTCCCAACCTCCCCAGCCAAAAACAAAATGAAATAAATCTTCTCTAATCCATCCTAATTAGAAGTAATCTCTTCTCCCTCAGTGCACTCTGAATGTAACTTTCTTAGGTCCCTGTTCAACTTGTAATAAATTTATAATTATCTCTTTAATAGATTATGGACTCTTGGAGAGGACAGACTATTAACCTCCAGTGCCTTACATTTACAACGAATAGTAACTATTTATGGAAAGAGCAAATGGAATTTTGTAGAGTAAGTCTAACCTCTTTTCCACATGACAGCTCTTCAAATCATTAAATCTTTCAATTATTATCAATAGCTAGGTTAATTATTAATAATTAGTAATAATTATAGCTTACATTAATCACTAATATAGTAATAATAGCTACATTAATACTAACAATAATTAGCCACATTACCCCTCTTATAATACTAGCTAAGATTACATTCACTTTTTCTGAGGATCTTAATAGATTTCAGTTAACTAAGACCTCTGGGTCTCTTTTATCACCCACCCAAATCCTGTAAAGTTGGTACTTTAGGAATCTAAGAGCAGGTCTTTATTTCTATTCCTATTAAAGTTCATCCTGTTACGGCCAGGTGTGGTGGCTCACGCTTGTAATCCCAGCACTTTGGGAGGCCAAGGCAGGTGGATCACTTGAGGTTAGGAGTTCGAGACCAGCCTGGCCAACATGCTGAAACCCTGTCTCTACTAAAAATACAAAATTAGCCGGGCATGGTGGTGCGCCTGTAATCCCAGTTACTCGGGAGGCTGAGGCGGGAGAATTGCTTGAACCTGGGAGGCGGAGGTTGTAGTGAGCCAAGATCGCACTACTGCACTCCAGCCTGGGCGACAGAGCAAAATTCTGTCTCAAAAAAAAAAAAGTTCCATCTTAAAAAAAACCTCAAAAACAAAAAAGTTCATCCTGTTAGTTTCAGTTCCACTAGCCATCAATCAGCACTTTAACCACTCTTTTACAAATCTGATAAACATGGCTCACAGCAAGAATTCTCAACTCCTCAAGACACACATATGTGTTCCAGGCATCCTTCCCTGTCTAAGTGTGCACCCATTGATGTATAAAGTCTACCAAGATTGTCGTTAATATACTTTAATCCAGGGCTTCCTTAAAGACAGCATCTGTGGCAGAGAACAAACCCTTTTAGTTATTAAGACAGAAAGTAAGCTCTGTAAAACTGGAGAATGACATTTTCAAACGCCATTACCCAAACTTTGTACCTTTAGTGACCATATCCTTATTTCACTTGAAGTATGCAAGCAACAGCTTTCAAAAGGGGTATCTAATTGAGATAACTTTATATTAAATCTGTACGAAGTCACACAACCTACCTTGTAAGGCCAAAGGAATAGCTTCAATCTGGATCTTGGTGGGTTTTGTCCATCCCAACTGGTCACAAGCTTCACACAACACATCTGTCACACCCTTAGAATTCAGAAAAATATACCTTAGCCAAGAACAGCACACCCCTACCTCCCTCCGACTTAACTGACTTTGTCAGAACCATCATGTACAACCAATATACTTTCTTTAAAAGGTATTTGCTGTGCATCTCAGAGCTTACTCTTTATACCATGAGACAGTAGCTCAAGACTTAACGAACACTTTCTGCTCACCAAGGCCAAGGCCAAGTGCTTTACATGTAGCATCTCATTTAATCGTCACAACAATTCTGCGAGGTAAGTACTTATTACTATCCCCAATTTACAGATATGAAAAGAGAAACACAGAGAGATAACAACTTGTCTATAGTAAGAGACTAGGTCAAAATTCAAATCTGGTTGGTTCATCTGACTCCAAAGCTCCAGCTATAAAGAGACCAATTCCCCATATGTACGACCTCCTGGACACATATAAACGTTGCCACACTAAAGTGGCGAATAGGACAAATGGGGCTCTCAGGGCCCAGCAGCCCTCCCACCACCCAAACTCAGAGCACGCCCGAAACCCAGCCCTCTGAAATTCTGGGGAAAACCCAAGGTAGGCCCCGAGATGCTTTTGTGCACTATCAGAGCGGGATCTAAGGTAATTGGGTCTGCCTGAGCCTAGCACCAGAGTACATAAAAGAAGCCAGCGCCATCCATTCTCACCAGGTCTTTAAATGTTTTAGTTTCCTCCTCTTCCATCACTGACTGGGACGCTTCGGTCGGAGAATCGCGTTCCTCGGTCGCCGCCATCTTGTCTGAAGTCTCCGGAAGTGGGTCTGCGGCGCGCGGGATGCTGGGAAATGTAGTTTTAGTTCTCCCCGAACGGCTTGCTCTGGGCGCCCCCTGCGGGCTTGCCGGGGATTGCACCCGTGCGCTAGGCGGGTGGGGCCCAGTGAATATGCGCGCGTAGGCAGGCGGAATAGGTCCGATTGCAGAAGGGGCTGATCACCAGGGAATCGAGTTGACCTTTAGATCCCTTTTAAAGCGCCTTCCCTAAGTATGTCGCCAGTTATGTTCCCCGGTTTTCTAACCATAGAGTTTGGAACGGATTGATATCACAATGCCATTTTTTAATTATAGTATTACCTTATTCAATAATTTTGAGAGCCCACCATATGCTAAGGCTGTGCTAGATGCCTAGTGAACAGGACAGCGACCCCTGCCCTCGTGGAGAAAAAGGAGACAGAAAAAGGAGATAAGCTATCACAGATAATTTCAAATTGTGAAAAGTAGCTGGGTGTGCTCATGCCTGTAACCCCAGCACTTCGGGAGGCTGAGGCGGGTGGATCACTTGAGCCCAGGAGTTCGAGACCAGCCTGGGCAACATGGCAAAACCCTGTGTCTACAAAAAATACAAAAATCAGTCGGGCATGCATGGTGGCATGCGCCTGTAATCCCAGCAACTCAGGGGGCTGAGATTGTGGGATCACTTGACCTCGGAGGTTGAGGCTGCAGTGAGCGGAGATCCTGCCGCTGCACTCCAGCCTGGGTGACAGAGTGAAACCCTGTGTACATAAAAATGACAGAGTAACCTGCCGAGGGTGGGTTGTGGGGATAACTGTGGATTGGGAAGGCCTCTCTGAGACGGTGATATTTGAGTTAAGACCTCACTGTTGAGCAGGAGAAAACGTTTTAAGATCCCGGGAGATAATTATTCCAGAGTGAGAGAATTCCAATACCAAGACTGTGAAGCTACTGAGGCTATTCTGGAAAGCAGCAAATTCAGAGCTGTACGTTGCATGCCCCAAGGCCAGCAATGCCCTCCCATGGCCTGTCACTTGGGTCTCACACTGCACAGGGTGCTCATTGCAGTCTTATTCCTGAGGATGGGAAGTTGGAGGCAATCTGGTGTCCATCATTGGGGAAATGCATAGTTAAAATGTGAACATGGTGTCTACAAACATGCCCTTAACAATATGATGAGAATCTCAAAAACCTAGTGCTGAGTGAGAAAAGCATAAAATATATCAAGTATATTAAAATATAGGCCCACAGATATCACATTCTGCTAAAATACATCCAACGGAAGATACACTTGAAATATTTTAGAATGGTTGCCTGCAGAGGGAGAAGAATTAGAATAAAATTGGGAATTGGGAATAAAAGAATTAAGTGTAAAAGATAATAGGCCAGCCACGGTGGCTCACACCTGTAATCCTAGCACTTTGGGAGGCCAATGCGGGTGGATCACTTGAGGTCAGGAGTTCAAGACCAGCCTGGCCAACATGGTGAAATCCTGTCTCTACTAAAAATACAAAAATTAGCCGGGCGTGGTGGCGGGGGCTTGTAATCCCAGCTACTTGGGGGGGCTGGGGCAGGAGAATTGCTTGAACCCGGGAGGTGGAGGTTGCAGTGAGCCAAGATCCTGCTATTACACTCCAGCCTGGGTGACAGAGCAAGACTCCATCTCAAAAAAAAAAAAAAAACCATAAGAAATACACAAAGCTAGAGAGGGGACTTGTGATGCCAGTGTGCTTGACCTGAGAATTGTGATGAACCCAACTCGATGTCTCAATGTGCCTGCCAACCTTCCCACCACCACAACTAAAAAAGGGCCCTGATTTAGGCATCAGGGCGGTGTCTGCAACAACAAAAAGGGTAGGATGCGGTCAGAGAAGTGGGCTCAGGTCAGACTCTGCAGGGCCCTGTTGTAAAGGGCCTGGGGTTTTGGATGTTATCCTAAATGCAGAAGGAAGCCACTGGGGGTATAGAGCAGGGAAGAGACACGACCTACACATTTAAAATATTACTCTAACTCTATATGGAGACAGGTTGTAGAAAGAGTGGGAAAAGGAGACCGTCTAAGACAGTGGTCCCCAACCTTTTTGGCACCAACGACTGGTTTCGTGGAAGACATTTTTTGCACAGAATTGGGGCGGGGATGGTTTCAGGATGATTCAAGCACATTACATTTATTGTGCACTTTATTTCTATTATTATTACATTGTAATATATAATGAAATAATTATACAACTCGCCATAATGTGGAATCAGTGAGAGCCCTGAGCTTGTCATCCTGCAGCTAGATGGTTCCATCTGGGGGTAATGGGAGACAGTGACAGACCACCAGGCATTAGATTCTCATAAGAAACCGGCAACCTAGATCTCTTGCAACAGGGTTTGTGCTCCTAACAGAATCTAATGCTGCAGCTGATTAACAGGAGGCAGAGCTCGGGTAGTAATCCTTGCTCACCTGCTACTCACCTCCTACTGTGCAACTTGGTTCCTAAAGGGCAACGGACTGGCATCAGTCCATGGCCCAGAGGCTGGGGACCCCAATCTATGTTGGGAAAAGGGCATGTGGGGTGCCTGCATAAACTGGCCATAAAAATGTGGGACAATAAGTTGTGGAAAGTCACTAAAAGCCTCTGAGGAGGAAAGCCTTCTTATCGCCATTATGTTCCCATGCTCTGAGCGCAACCTGCTTTCTTATCTATAAACACTGTGTTCAAGGAGAAAGACACTCCTCTGAAGCATTGAAATGGACAGACATTCAGGCTCCTAGTTAAGCCCACTCCCACTAGCTACTTTTCGATAAGTTAAAAGTATGCTGTTTGAGCACAAAGGAGATTCATTTAAACCACTATTGCTATAGATTACGCCTATGACATACTGCCTCCCTTTCACTCTTTCGCCCTGAACATCTGCTTCTTAGATCTGTGACTGTCCTCGATAAATAGTGTGGCGACCAGAACTCTGGGCCTTTCGCAGCCTCCATTTTGCAATTGGGCCCCCGGCCCCCACTCTTAATGCACTCTTAACCTATCTTTTCTCATTCCTTCGTCGCCACCGGACTTTGGGTACCCTACGGGTGGTGATGAGGCTGATCCCCAACAATCTAAGAGAGGAGGGATGCTCTTCATACCCCTGGCTCTAAGCACAGGGCCTGGTAAAAAGTGGATGCTCTGTAAATGCTGCCTGGCTGAAGTAAAACAGTAAAGCGTTGGGATCAGGAAGGACAGCAGACCAGAGAGGACTTCACTGTTTGTTTTTTTAGGGAGCGAGGTTTTTCCATATTTAAGATTACATTCCTGGCCGGGCACAGTGGCTCACACCTGTAATCCCAGCACTTTGGGATGCCAAAGCAGGTGGATCATTTGAGGTTAGGAGTTCAAGACCAGCCTAGCTAACATGGTGAAATCTCGTCTCTACCAAAAATACAAAAATTAGTCGGGCATAATGGCAGGCGCCTATAATCCCAGCTACTTGGGAGGCTGAGGCAGGAGAATAACTTGAACCTGGGAGGCAGAGGTTGCAGTGAGCCGAGGTCGTGCCTCTGAACACCATCCTGGGTGACACAGCAAGACTCTGTCTAAAAAAAAAAATATATATATATATATATATACACACACACACACACATGTATATATAAAAGATTACACTCCTGCAGAATGGGCTGGGGCCTTTGGCCTTTTTACATTAGTTCACTCCAAGTTAAAGGAAAGGAGAGCAAATACACACCGCATAAGACAACAGGTCACCCTGAAATTGGTTCTATCAGGCAGTCACAGGCATACAATTATGCTAGCCCAGTCTAAGGCATTCCATCTCTCTATTTAGCCCTCCTCATGGCTACCTTCTCATTCTCCTATGACTTGGAATTGGGCCACTCTAGATGGTCTCCAAAGTGAATACATGTGCTTTGGGATAAGGGGAAGTCAACTTCTCCCAAAGAGCGTCTACCCAGCTAAATTGGGCTCTTCCTCTTCCTCTTCTCTGTTACATAGACCTGCTGGGGAGTTTGTTCTCCTCTGTTGACAGAAAGGAACTCTAGTCCCAGAGAGTAAAGAGACACAAGAGTAAAGAAAGAGTAAAAATCACAAGAGACAAGACTAGAAGCCAAGCCTCTTAGACCAGGTGTGGTGGTTCACTCCTGTAATGCCAGCAATCTAGGAGGCTGAGGTGGGTGGATCACCTGAGGTCAAGAGTTCCAGACCAGCCTGGCCATCATGGTGAAACTCCATCTCTACTAAAAATACAGAAATTTGCCGGGTGCGGTGGTGTGCGCCTGTAATCCCAGCTACTCAGGAAGCTGAGGCAGGAGAATTGCTTGAACCTGGGAGGTGGAGGTTGCAGCAAGCCGAGATCGTGCCACTGCACTCCAGCCTGGGAGACAGAGCAAGACTCCTTCTCAAAAAGAAAAAACAACAACAACAAAAAGCCAAGCCTCTTGAGACCAGACCAAAGCTTTTACCAAAGAGAACATCGTCTTACATAATCGAAAGCAGCTTCCTTCTTCAAAAGCAGCCACACAGACTTTTCTGTAAAAACAAAGAGAGAAAGCAGCTGCAGTATTTATTTTGCTTCCCCTTGACTCATCCTCTGATTGCATTTAGGAGAGTGGAATGAGAAAGAAGAGCTGAGAGAAGGAGAGGATCCTAACTGGGGAGTGAGGGGAAGCAGAGATAAAAGCCTCAAAAGGGGACTCAGATGGAAATAACTGGAAGGTCTATAAATTTGTATATCATATGCGATCTAAAGTTACGTGAGTTTTGTTCAAATGTATTACAGAAAAGAAAAAGGAGTCACCCGTAAAATGTCTGGGGGTGGCTGCTGCTTTAAAGGGAACTGATTTAAGCCTTTCAACTGCAGTTATAACATAAGACCCTGTTGATTTTAGCCAAACAAATCTTTTCTGTTCTTTCTTGGATAATTCAGACACAGCGTGTTTTTAAAACTTCCTGTGGTGTCAGTGTCCTCAGGGTATCGAGGGCCGTGAAGAGGATGTGGCATGCAGTGACAGCAGCATCAGCGCTGCTCGATTCTTTGGTCCGTTCCTGCCAGCAAG